AGAAGGCGGTTCACGGCCTGAGTGAGGGGGACAAGGGCGGCAAATTCCTCCGCCTCATTCCTACCCTGACGATTCGAGGTGGGTGAGAGGAAGGTGTGGGGCGGCTGGGTGTGTGGGGTGGGGGAAGGTCACCTCCCCGGCCTCTCTGGGCCCTCCAGCCTTTTCCTGAGAGGAGCTCGCCTCGGCCCCTTGGTTGGGGGGATGGGAGCGTCTCTGGAAGGCCCTCGGCCGAGCAGCTGGGCCTGCACCCCTGGTCCCTTCCAGTTCATTTCTGCTGTGGCGGCAGGAGGCTGGGGAGCCGATGACTCACCCTGCCGGCTAATTGCAGCGTTAAATAACTTTGCGCCGGATTCAGTGGCTGCAGCAGGGAACGCGCTCCGGGCGCCGGGGGAGGTGCAGGGACGCCCTGAGAACGCACCTCCGTCTGTGTCACCAACCTTAGCAAGTTCTGGCCTGTGGAGCCCTCACCCAGAGCGCAGAGCTTCATGCCCCTGAAGGGTGCAGTTTGTCCCATGGTGCCCGGTGGGCCCGGACAGAGCCCCCAGAGGCTCTGTCTGAAGGAAGCTGCACCCACAGGCTGCAGGCAGCGCGGGCCCCTCGCCCACCTTTCTCGGAAACCATCTGCCCATGTGAATCTATGTGAAGGCCCTTCATGCGCTCCTGGACATCTGCGTGGGATTTACTTCAACTGCTATAGCTGCGAGGAGGACGAGCATGTTCCACTGTATTTTTAGCAGAGAGTGCAGATTTTAGAACCTCGCGAACGGTCCTGTATATCCTGCACGATGACTCGCCAGAACAGTAGGAATAGTGACCCTTCATTTGCATTTATGGTGCATAGGTTTTCAACGGACAGTGTGTAAATCAGCTTGTATAATAATCGTGGCACCCACGCGCGCGAGCAGACTTACCATGAACTGACTTCCACTGATTATTGCGGTTTCCAGGGAAACGAGGTTTGCAGCCACCTCCGGTGAGGGCGGAGCGGCCTCTCCATTCCCAATGCAGCAAGGCTGCTGCAGCCACGACGATTAGGCTTTGGAGGAGGAAGTGAACTGATGGGGCCTCATCCTCCTCCCTCCCTAAAGGGTGAGGGTGGAAGGATGGGGCTGTGCCCTCTTAGGGCAGGGAAAAACAGCTTGGAGGGGTTTCTGCCATCAGAGATCCCATAGGAGGCAGGTAGGTCAGTCCTGCAGAATTTCTCCCCAGTCTGGCCACCAGCCTCCCCGGCCCCTTGCTAGAGGCCCCCATCCCACTGGCGGCTTGCTGCTGCCATGGGGCCTTTGCACAGGCACCTCTTGCAGCCTAGGGTGTGTCGCCTCTCCACGTCCTCACCGGCGTCTGCCTTTGCTTTTCCCAGATGCTCGCTTCATCCCACTGAGAAGTAACTCAGTTTTGTGGGATCCCACTGCCCTCCAGGTGCCGCTCCGCGTGCTCTACACAGCCTACACAGCTTTTCATTCAGTCCTTGCGGCACACGAAGGTAGGCGGCCCCACTGTCCTCACAGAGGCTTCCTATGCAGGAGCCAGTGACTGGCGGAGCGCCGCTCACACTCAGGCTCCAAGAGCTGCCTCCCTGCCGTCCCCTGCCCCGGACAGACGCTCCTCCATAACAGGCAGGATTTCCCTGTGGTCCAAAGGTGTGTGTCCCTGCCAGATTAGGAGTTCAGCTCACTGCGATCCTGTCCAGCTTGCCCCCATCTCCCATCCCCATCAGGATCTGGCTTTGCCCCAGCTATGTGGAACGAACGCATGAACAAATGAATGGGTGGGTTGCTCCATCTTGTGACAGGACGGCAAAGTCAGCTGGTTCTCCTCCTATGGTGCTCAGGGCCAGGTGAGGCAGGTGGGCCCACACGCAGACAGGCCCCCATCTCTGTATTGGGTGTGGGGAAGGGGCTCTGGGAGGGTGCATGCCCCAGCTGCAGGAATGTCAAGAGCAGAGGCCCTGGAGGAGACAGCCCGGAGCTGGCGCACAGTAAAGTCCTCAGGTAGGAGGGGCAGAGTGAGGGTGCCACCGTCGGGCAGCAGATGCCCACCCAGAAGGGTCTTTGAGCCTTGCTGGGAAGTTCAGATTTTACCCTGAGGATAAGGGAGGCCCTGGACCCGCAGGAGGATGCCCTGGTACGTCTAGAAGGAGCCCTGCCACTGGGGAGCTGGCGGGGTTGCTGCCCATCACAGTGCAATCACAGGTTTGCCTGCTCATCTCCCTCGCCCTTTTCCCATCACTTCCTGAGACTCTGCAGATGGTCAGCAGTGTTCCTGAGTGGATGACATTGGGTTGGCAGAGAGAGGGGAGGGCAGTCTGTGGTCCCGGTCATGCAGTTTCCTTGTACAGTCCGTTGAGCTCACAGGGACCCGTCAATGACCCTTCACTCAGAGGGACGGCCTCTACACTTGAGCTGGTTTCTGACACCTAAAAACAGAAGTGGAAATGGGAGCAGACACAGGCACATTTTCAAAGCTGATTCGGTTGCTTTCTGGCAGAATCCCTTCCCCCAAGCACCTGCGGGGCCCACCCCTTAACTCCGCCCCATGAGGGGACCTCTGGCAGCTGCAGTCTAGTCAGGTGATTTCCGGGGCTCAGGGCTCAGGGAGGGGCACCCACCTCAGAAAGAAGCGCCGTGCTTATGAGAAATGACTTCTACAGGTTGTTGGGGAAAGAGGAGTTATTTTAAAGATCGCAGAGCCCGTGATGTGCCAGGAGCATTCACACAGGGCATATAGTCCCCATAGCTGCCTCTGTGCTGAGGCCACCTCGCCCTCCTATCCTAAAGACAAGGAACCTGAAGCCCAGAGATGGTGTCTTAAAACAATCGTGTGTTTTTTTTCTGATTACAACAGCAATTGTGTTAATCCAAGAATATTTTTCCTATCAACTGTAAACCTTATTTTAATATTTACATATTTATTAGCATTTAAAATTCAATCTCCTAGAATATTGACTTCAATTAGTTTGGCTGATTCTATTTTTTTTTTTTTCTAGTTTGTTTATCACTTAACTTTTTAAGTACTTTTTTTTTTTGAGACAGAGTCTCACTCTGTTACCCAGGCTGGAGCGCAGTGGTGCAATCTCAGCTCACTGCAACCTCTGCCTCCCGGGTTCAAGTGATTTTCCTGCGTCAGCCTCCTGAGTAGTTGGGACTACAGGCTCCCACCACCACGCCAGGCTAATTTTTGTATTTTTAGTAGAGACGGGGTTTCATCATGTTGTCTAGGCTGGTCTCGAACTCCTGACCTCAAATGATCTCCCCACCTCAAATGATCTCCCCACCTCAGCCTCCCAAAGTGCTGGGATTACAGGTGTAAGCCAACACACCCAACCTCTTTTTAGTGCTTTCATCCTTTATCTTTTTAACTACGTAAGTACTCAACATTTTAAATTATTAATCTTCACTGTGTTATTTCCAAGAACAATCACTACTGACCTTTCACTTACGCAGCCACATTGTGTGCCTCTCTGTGTAACTCTGCACAGCTGGTGATTTATTGAAAGAACTTACTCTCATAAAACCGCAGCCAGCGAGTTCTCAGAGACACAATAATGCACCTTAAATATTACTTTAAAAGCTCTTGTCTTGTGAAATGTAATCGATCCACAGAAAAATCATAAAGTATATATGTAATAGCTTAATGACTTATAAATGAGCGTCTGTATACTTTCCACTCAAAAAACAGAATATTGCAGGATTTGAGTACACAACCTGTACCTTTCCAACTACAGCCTCCCTCCCACCAGAGCTTCTGCTGAGTTCACTTGAAATCACTTCCTTGCATTTATTTATACTTTCATTACCTTGACAAGCATCCCTAACCATTCTAGTTTGATTTTGCCTGGTGTTTGAACTTTATATTAACGGAATCATAGAACATAATTCTTATATCTTTGGCTTCTTTCATTCAACTTTGTGTCTGCGAAGTGTATCCATGTTGCATGCAACGGGGGCTTTTTCATCGCTGGTTACTGATTCACTGCATGAATATGACACGGTTTATTATCCATTTCATTGCTGATGAACATTGGATCGTTTCTAGTTTGGGAATATTATTAATAAATTGTGAACCTTCTTATTTGTGTGCCCTGATGTACTTGGACATGCATTTTTGTGGTGTATACTTAGTGAAATTGCCGGTTCATTTGGACATGCATTTTTGGGGTGTATACTTAGTGAAATTGCTGGTTCATGAGTAACACCTATCTTCAGGTATTACTTTTTGTGCCCTTTTATATTTAGATACAATTTATGTGCAATACCAATCATTCATGTTAAGTGTACAACTCAGTGAGTTTAGACAACTGGACACCTCGTTATGAGTCACCATCACCGAGATGATCCAGCACTGTCCCAACTCCCCCCACGTTCTCCTTTGCAAGCACCCTCTCCCTCTGTTCTGGGCACAGGCAACCACAACCTGCTCTCTGTCACCGTAGCTTTAGTATGAAATTTCACATACATAGACTCAGGCAGCAGAGTCTTTCCTGTGTGGCTTCTTTCTGCTGGCAAAATGCTTGGAGACTTTTCCATGTCGCTGTGTGAATCAATGGATCATTTGTTTTCATTGCTGAGCAGAATTCCACCAACATTTGTTTACTCATCCATGAAATGATGGACATTTGGTGTTTTTCCAACTGAGATTGTTATGAATAACGCTGCTATTGTCATTCAAGGACAAATCTTCTGTGAACATGTTTTCACTTCTCTTGGGTGCATCCTTAGAAGCGGTATTGCTGGACTGTATCAAAAGTTAATATTTCACTTTCTTTTTTTTTTTTTTTTTGAAATTTAAAGAAAAAATTTATTGAAGATCTGAAAAACAATTCCTAAAAGATTGACTTTTCCAGAAAACTAGCTACACAATGCATTGCGTCTATCATGTTAAAACGTGCATTAGACACAAATGCAAAAACCATGAAACAAGCCACCATTCTTCAACAATTTGAGCAAAGATAAAATGCCTAAGTAACAACATGGATGACTTGCAAAGGATGGGCTCTTTACTTTAAGCACCATTAAAAAAAAAAAAAAAAAAGGAGCACAAATGGATGAGTGTGTTCAGTTATATACACTGAATTGAACCTTTGGCACTAGGAATCAGAGCATTTTGTCATATAGCATTAACACGTATTATAAAAGTGCGTAGTGTCAAAGGAATAGAACCACCAGCATTCAAAAGCAGCTTTGTCAACTAGGCAATAAAACACTCTACAGCATATCCCTCTGTTGTCCATCATTGAAAACACTGGCAGCAAAAAAAGAAAAGAAAAAAGGAGCTATTACCCCTTTTATTTTCTCTGTTTAAAAATCAAACAGAAAACAAACATCAATTGTTATACACTAACATCTTCAAAGCACATCGTTTGTACAAGAGATAGACTAAGAACAAAAATGTGTTTACGGAGATCCAAACATAAGTGAGTGAGAGTGCCTCTCACACAGCTTTCCGATGGTACTCAGGAGGAGCCACTTCGTAATCGCTGGCACTAAACAAAGTTGCAGAATTCTTTGCCAGGTACTTTAGGAAATCGTGAAGATAATTGAGTAATAAAGCAAGGCTCTTCTCATCCAGAGGTGTATAGGCCAACATTGCTCCAATTCGTACAAATAATCTGAGGAGATGTGGTGCTCCATACACCTGGGACATGGGTGCATCGGGATGATCTGCAAGAATTTCGGCATACTGTGGTCTCTCAAATTTGTAGAGTAGCTGGGTGCCCAACATTACGTTGAAGTATTCTTTTATCCCTGCCACAACTTCATTAACCGCATACTCCTTATTATCCGTGTTTCCACGAGATTTCTTGTAATTTGCATAATCCTCAAGAATGGAATCCACATTCTTCTTGGCAGGAAGATAAAAGAGCTGTTTTTGCCTGGTAATTAAGTCCCAGTCATCAACAAGCCACGGTTTTAGCTCTTCAGGAATCTTTACTTTAACTTCAACTCTGTTCATGAATGTTTCCTCATTTTCAACAGTAGGATCTACCCGGGCCCTTTTCTTCCGAGGAGGCTGAGGGGTCTCACTGGTACTGCCACCATCTCCATTTCCAGGTGTTTTCTGTTTGTTCTTTTTTGTTTTCACTTCAACATTTTTCTGTTGCAGACCAGATGTCTTCTTTCCTGGGGCAGCCCCTCTCATCTTCCCCTCTGCATACTGCTCCTGATTGGCTTTTTGAAGTTCTCGCTGTTTCTGCAAATTGGTGTCCACGTATTTGAGTACTCTGCTCTCTGGAACCCACTCATCCCAATTTTTATTCCAACCACTGTAATGTATAAAGTATTTCACTTGTTTGTCCTTTATGGCAACCTTTACACACTTTGCTTCATAAAGAAGAGGCCCATGAAAGCACAGCACTCGCTCACCCTCCTGGAATTTAGGCTTCGGGTCCTGCTTCGGCGCCATTTATAAGTGATTCGCCGCCTCCTCCTTCTCCCACCACCCCCGACTACCACCCCCTACTCTCTCAATATTTCACTTTCAAGAAACTGATAAACTGTTTTCCAGAGTGGCTGTACCATTTTGCATTCCCAGACCAAAATGTGAAAGCTCCAGATGCCCCACGCCCTCACCAGCCCACGGTGTTGTCAGTCTTAATAATGCTGACCATTCTGGTGGGTCTGCAGTGGTATCTCATTGTGTTTTAATTTGCATTACGTTGATAACTAATAGCACTGAGCCTTTCATATATCTTTAGTAAAGAGTCTTTTCAAATCCTGTGCCAATTTTTTAAAAATTGGGTTGTCTTCTTGTAATTGAGTTGTAAGAATTATTTATACATTCTGAACGTAAGTTATTTATTGGATAAATGTTTGGCAAGTATTTCCTCCCAGTCTTTTGACCTACCTTCTTATCTTCTTATCAACATGTTTTAAAAAGCAAAACTTTCCATTTTGATGGCATCCAGTTATTACTTTTTTCTTTTATGGTTTTTATGTACTACTTAGGAAATAACTGTCTAAACCAAGATTACAAATATTTCCTTGTCTTTCAGAAGTTTTATGGTTTTAGCTCCTAAGTGTACATCTGTGATCCACTTTGAATTAATTTTTGTAAATGGTGTGATGTAATAGTCAAGGTTTTTATTTTTGCACATGGATATCCAGTTGTTCCAGTACCATTTCTTGAAAATAATCACCAATACCTTTAAATTACCTTGGTACTTTTATTAAAAATCAATTGACTGGAAAATGTGGATTGATCTCTAGGCTCTCAGTTCTGACCCATTGACTTATATGTCTGTTCTTTTTTTTTTTTTTTTTGAGATGGAGTCTCACTGTGTTGCCCAGGCTGGAGTGCGGTGGTGCTATCTCGGCTCACTGCAACCTCTGCCTCCCGGGTTCAAGCAATTATCCTGCCTCAGCCTCCCAAGTAGCTGGGATTACAGGCGCGTACCACCACACCCAGCTAATTTTTGTATTTTTAGTAGAGATGGGGTTTCACCATGTTGGTTAGGTTGGTCTTGAACTCCTGACCTCATGATTCACCTGCCTTGGCCTCCCAAAGTGCTGGGATTACAGGCATGAGCCACTGTGCCCAGCCATGTCTGTTCTTATGCTAATACCACAGTATCTGGATTATTGTAGCTCCATAGTGAATGCTGGAATCAGGTAATGTGAGTCCTCCAACATTTTGACTCTTTTTCAAAATAATTTGGCTATTTTAGGTCCTTTGCATGTCCATACAGATTTTAGACTCAACTTGTCAATTTCTACCCGAAAATGTCTGATTGAGATTGTACTGACCCTATATCTTAATGTGGGGATAATTAGTATGTTAGCAATATTGAATCTTCTAACCTACATTTACTTAGTCTTCATTAATTTATCTCATCAATATTTCGTAGTTTTCAGTGCACAGACTTTGCACACATTTTGTTAAATTTCCCTATAAGGATTTCATATTTTTATATTTTTCATTTTGTAAATGTTAAAGAAATAAGACACCCTTGTTATTTTTCTTTCTTTTTTTCTGTTTTTTTATTTTATTTTATTTTTTTATAGAGAGAAGGTCCCACTATTTTGCCCAGGCTGGTCTCGAACTCCTGGGCTCAAGCAGTCCTCCCACCTCAGCCTCTCAAAGTGTTGGGATTACAGGCAGGAGCCACCACACCTGGCCAGATACCCTCATTAGATTTTTGTGTCTATTCTTATTTCTTTAAAGTAAAATTTACTTTAGTAAATGTTACTATATAAATATATAGCATTAATATAAAATTGTTTGTTACTAGTCATATAAATACAATTAACTTTTTAGATTGCCCTCTTACCCTGTGACCTTGTTAAATTCACTAATTCTAGCAGCTGCTTTTGTGTATTTGGTAAGATTTTCTACAAAGACAATCATGCCACAGGTACATAGAACCCATTTTACTGCTTCCTTTCCAAACTGCATGCTTTTTTTTTTTCTTGCTTTATTGTATTGGCTAGGTCCTCATGCACAATAGTGAACAGAAGTAACAAGAGTAAACAGCCTTGCCTTGTTTCTTGTCTTAGTGGGAAACCATTTAGTCTTTCACCCTTAAGGATAATATAAGCTGTAATTTTTTTTGGTAGATGCTTTTTATCAGGTTGAAATCTATTTCTATTTTGTTGAGTGTTTTTATCATGAATAGTTGATGAACTTGTCAAATGCTTTCTTCCTCATCTTTTGAGATTATCATACGGTTTTTCTTTTTCAGCCTGTTAATATGATGAATTACACTGATTCAGTTTCAAATGTCCAACCAAGCTTGTACTCCAGAGGTGAAGCCCACTTGATCACATGTATTATTCTTTTAATATATGATGGATATGACTTGCTGTTCTTTTGTTGAGGATTTTTGTGTTTATGTTAATGAGGATATTATTTGTAGTTTTCTTGTAATGTTTTTGTCTTTGTTTAGTGTCAGAGTAATGTTGACTTCATAAAGTGAGCTGGGAAGTATTCCCTAGTTTTCTCTTTTCTGTAAAAGAACTGTATAGAATTGATGTTATTTCTTCCTTAAGTGTTGCGTAGAATTCACTTGCAAAGCCATCTGGGGTTGATGTCTTCTTTGGGAATGACTTTAGCTATAAATTCAATTTATTTAACAGATATAGGGCTATTAAGGTTATTTAATTTTTTTCTTGAATGAGCTTTAGTGTCCTGTGTTCTTCAAGGAATTTTCCCATTTTAATTACGTTCTTAGATTTGTTGGCATAAAGTTATCCCAATATTTCCTTAGAAGTTGTGACTTTTACTGCATATAAAACATACCTCAATAAAGCCAAAAAAAAAAAAAAAAAAAAGCAGTAAAAGCATCCCTTTTGGCCGGGTGCAGTGGCTCATGCCTGCAATCCGAGCACTTTGGGAGGCCGAGGCAGGTGGATCACCTGAAATCAGGAGTTCCAGACCAGCCTGGCCAACATGGGAAACCCTGTCTCTACTAAAAATACAAAAGTTAGCCAGGTGTGGTGGCACGCGCCTGTAATCCCAGCTACTTAGGAGGCTGAGATAGGAGAATTGCTTGAATCCGGGAGGTGGAGGTGAGCTGAGATTGCACCACTTCTCTCCAGCCTGGGCAACAGACTGAGACTCCATCTCAAAAAAAAAAGAAAATCCTTTTTTATCTATAGGATCTGTAGTGAAGTCCCCTCTTTCATTTCTGATATTGGTAATTTGTGTTTTGTTCGTTTGTTTTTTGTTTGTTTTTTTTTTTAGATGGAGTCTCGTTCTGTCACCCAGGCTGGGGTGCAATGGTACAATCTCTGCTCACTGCAACCTCTGCCTCCTGGGTTCAAGTGATTCTGCCTCAGCCTCCTCAGTAGCTGGGATTACAGGTGCCCGCCACCACGCCTGGCTAATTTTTGCATTTTTAGTAGAGACGGGGTTTCACTATGTTGGCCAGGATGGTCTCAATCTCTTGACCTTGTGATCCGCCTGCCTCAGCCTCCCAAAGTGCTGGGATTACAGGCCTGAGCCACCGCGCCCGGCCTTGTGTGTTCTCTTTTTTCCTAATTTGGTTAGAGATTTATCAGTGTTACTGACCATCTCAAAAAACTAGTTTTTGGTTTCATCATTATATTTTGTTTTCTATTCATTGATTTCTGCTCTTTTGGCTATTATCTCCTTTTTCTGCTTCCTTTAGCATTAGTTTTCCTTTCTTTTTCTAGCTGTCATTTGAGACCTTTCTTTTTTTCTTATATAATTTTTAATGCTATAAATTTTGCTTTAAACATTTCCTTAATTATATTCCACAATTTTCCTTATGTTATGTTTTTATTATTACTCTGGTAAAAAAATTTCCTAGTGATATTTGTGATTTCTTCTTTTACTCATTGGTGTTGAGAAGTGAGTTAACTTCTAGACATTTGGGGTCCTTTCTAGATTAGATGTTGTTGCAGATTCCTAATTTATTACTGTTGTGGTCTGGAAACACTCTGTAAGATGTTGATCTTTTGAAATCTGTTGAGACAAGCACATGGCCTGTCCTGGCAAATGTTTCACATACAGTTGGAAAGAGTGTGCATTCTGAAGTTGTTGCTGATTATGTTCTCTAAATGTCAATTCAGTTTAGTTCATAGTGTCATTTGGATCTCCTGTATACCTTTTTCTTTTTGTCTACTTATTCTGTTACTGAGAATAGCATGTTAAATCTCCTGCTATGATTGTAGATTTTCTATTTTTCCCTTTGGTTTTATTAGTTTTGTTCATATATTTTGGCATACTGTTATTAGATGTGTATATGTTTGTAATTGTTGTCTCTTCCTATTATATTGAATTTTGTCTCATAATACTCATTCTACTGAAGAATTTTTTTTTTTTTTTTTGAGACGGAGTCTCGCTCTGTCACCCAGGCTGGAGTGCAGTGGCCAGATCTCAGCTCACTGCAAGCTCCGTCTCCCAGGTTTACGCCATTCTCCTGCCTCAGCCTCCCAAGTAGCTGGGACTGCAGGCGCCCGCCACCTCGCCCGGCTAGTTTTTTGTATTTTTTAGTAGAGACGGGGTTTCACTGTGTTAGCCAGGATGGTCTCGATCTCCTGACCTCGTGATCCGCCCGTTTCGGCCTCCCAAAGTGCTGGGATTACAGGCTTGAGCCACCACGCCCGGCCTTTTTGAAGAATATTTTGTGTGCTATTAATACAGCTACTACAGGCCATGCGCAGTGGCTCGTGCCTACAATCCCAGCACTTTGAGAAGCCAAGGCAGGAGGACTGCTTGAGGCCAGGAGTTTGAGACCAGCCTGGGCAACATAGTGAGACTCCCATCTCTCCAAAAAAAAAAAAAAAAAAGTTTAGGAAATCAGCCAAGCATAATGACATGTGGCGGCTGAAGAAGAAGGATCTACATAGGAGGCTGAAGCGGTAGGATTGCTTGAACCTAAGAGTCGGAGGTTACAGTGAACTCTGATCACACCACTGCACTCCAGACTAGACGACAGAACAAGGCCCTGTCTTAAAACACACATGCACATGCACACACGTGCACACACACACACACACA